AAAATTGTTGATTTCTTTGAATTTTATATGTTTATTCTTTTTTGTGTGCTGACCTTCTAGGTCATTTCAGGACCAACACATGGTTCAGTTTTATTTCAATAATTCACTTGTGCATAGCGGCCTTTACCTGTGGGAGGAAACAGGACCCGGAGAAAACCAACAATGAAATGAAATGAAATGAAATGGAGTTTAACGTCCTACTGTTCTGCTCCTAACCTGAGCTAATGAAGACGGGCATACGCCATACAGTGTGCTATGAGGGAAATTTTGCCCGGACAGCGGCACTACGGCCTACTCTTATATCGAATTCCAACTGCCAAGGGATCTTTTACGTGCACGCCAATGTGTACACGGGACCTCGGTTTTTCGTCCCATCCGAACGACTAGACAGCTTTCCTTGTCAGGCCCTCCGTCCTGCATCACTGACAAGGGAGAACCACGGCGGAAAATCGGGATGAACTTTCTCTGCCAATGCAGGGATTGAACACCCGACCTCCAAAAAAACAAAAAAAACCCAACAAAGTTGGACAGGCAACCCTACTGCTTGTCAGGTAAAAGCGGAGATTCAAAACCATTCTACTTGACTCTATGACAGATCTTGTGATTTCACACGCACATGTTAAATCACTAGACTACCCAACCCCCCAAATTTTAAAAAAGAACTACATAATTTTATAAAAGGACAATGAATTTTTAAATTTGAATGTGGATTTCATGAAACATTCGTTGAGAAATTGTAAAATTTATTTGTAAATTTAAGCCATGTCTTGATGTGTACATGTAATAACAGGTGGAATAACACTGTACTTTTAACAACCAACAATATGTGATATAAGGCAGTCATCTATTTAAGCTGATTTCACTTCAAACAAATCTTGCTTGACATCTGAATACTGGGACCAGAAGGATTTATCTTGCACTTTAACCTTAAGGCATGACCTGTGACCCGTGAATGAGATTAGCTAGTGACCATCTGACCAATGGATGCCGTAATTATCCTATCAGTTATCTTGTTACAAATCATTCCTGTTCAAAGGATTATTATGCTGAGATGGAATGAACGAGTACAGAGTAGGCATAAACATTACTGCATGGGCAAAATTCTTGTTTTATGTGGGTGTCATCATGACTTCCAGCAGTGTTATAGTGATGTCTATGTCTTGTAACATGGATATTGTCTGTAGCTCCCAATATCTGTTTGTAACAAGAGGGTAAAATATAGTTCCCTCAACACTAACTTCATCATTTCCGAACCAAGTCTTAACAAGTAGGAGGAAATCGGTGTAATCATACTTAACCTACACCATCTCACTTAAGGGTGCCTAGTAATTTGGATAGGTTGAAAAACAGGTCCCATTTACCAGTATATATTGATAGTGCTTGTGAAAGAACCATTAGCATTTACTGTAGTCAGCTAGAAATGCTATTGTGAGGCAAAATACTTCCATTCTCATTTAACATAGAAATAAAAACATGTATATTAGTCTCAAAATAACCTCATTAAAATATCTGCAAAATGTTAATCACCATTCAATTCATCTCCATTTATTGTATGTCTTTAATATATGGGATTATTTAGGTTTAAAAGTTGAGGTCATTAAAACATTCTGATTCTGTTACATCAACTATGAGTCATAGAAACAGGTGTATCAGATGTTAATGTAACAAGTGATGATAGGTATATAATTATCTTATATACAGGTTATTTACATACCTTAACTCTCTACACAAATGACTAAAGTACTTGAAGTATAAACTTAAGAATTAGGACATTAAAGATGCAACTATTTTGAAATATCTGCTGTCAGTAATAAAATAATTTTCAATTTGATCTGCTTTTGTGTCAGATTTTGCATCAACCTCCGTAATTTGTGTAATTCGGGTAGGACAATAAAACAAGCTCTTGTATGAAACATGACAGTCTTAGCAATGAAGTATGTTCTTGTAATCTACTGTAAATTATTACTTATAATGGTATAATAATCTGACAATTAATATGTTGCATAATAATGATAGAAGTATTATTTCCAAGATACATTATTAAGAATTAACTCAGATTAAATGTACATTATATAAACTGAGTGGAGATTAATGAGGCTTGTTACCATGTGTCTAAATGAATTGTAGTCTTGATAACAAATTCTTATTTTGAATGGTCTTAATGCCACAAAGGACTAAAACTACATGCATGCATGCTTCTGTATTTCACAAGAAAATGTCCTATAATAAATGTCAACTCTATACATACATGTATATTATGGAAAATTCATTGTCTGTATAAGATATAACCCCTCTCTCTCTAAATCTTTAATTTTCTTAAATTTTAAATTAGTGAGCTGATATTTGGAATTTTTATGGTGCTAGAGATATGTCTAAATGACTATTTAATGCACATGTTTCACAAAGTACTGAATTATTCCCACATAAATCTCTTCAAGAATTCATCAAATATTTAAATACGTTTGTTTCAGTCTGTAAATACGGCCATTAATGGCGATGGGATGGAACCAAATAATGATATCCAGACACCAATTCCTTTTAACCTGGGTCATCAGTTTGTGTGGCCATCCTGTACACAACTAAAATATTGTAAAAATAAACATCCTTTAATCTGTTCCCCCCCCCTTAATTTAGAGCCCTGACAGGAAGTTCTGTCTTGGAGTGTAGAAAACCTTCAATTAACACAATGTTTTGATATATTTGGAATTGTTTATGGTCGCTACCTGTAAATAACGACCCGCAATGTCAATTATTCTAAATAAATAATAATTATGTCTGGACTCATAGGTTCAGTATCAAACGATATTTATTTGTACTTCTCTGCTGATTATTTGAAGCATTTCATCTCTTAGTCTAGAAGGCATGTGCTTGTAAATATTTACATTGATACAGTACTGAAAAACTTATAATACCAAAATCTTTCACATACATGTAAGCACCATAAAGTTGAAATACCAAGTGGTAGTTTGGAAAATGTTGGAATATGTCACAGTTCGTTGCAGACTAGGAGCCAAATTGTCAGAATAGGAATTTGGTAGCATAAAAGGTCTACATTGCTCTAGCTGTCACATTGAATGCTGATATTACTATTCAAATACTCTAAATCTTTATTCAAATGCCATTTCAATATTTTATTCAATTTAAATGATCAATATATGCATTGCTTTTAGTTTTTTTTTTTTTGGGGGGGGGGGGCCAGATTTCAACAGATTGTGAAGTTTAAGTTAGTTGATTGCACTGAATTAATAATATTAGTTATTTCCTACAAGAAACAAAAAACTGATTAAATTCAAATAAGTTTCAATTGACATTAGACATGTAGTAATGTACCAATAATCAGTTCAAATAGCCTTGAGCACTACTCTGCTCACAGCAATTCTCTGTAGATTCATTCTTTCAAGTCTTACTTATTTCGGTCATCTGTGTGACCATCTAAACTTATTTCTTTCTGAAAATATATTTAACATGACCATGAAGAAAATAAAGAGTCATTAGGTAATGGAGCCTGAAAAAAAGCCAGGTTCCACCCAGCATTTTCAGTGGAAACATCATAATACATGAATAGACAGCTGGCTGTTCAATAAATTTAAACAGTTTCTAATCTTTGTACTAGGGTACATTATCATGTGATAACTGATATCCTTACACCAGTCACTTTCAACAGCCTACACCCTATGTCCCAGCTGTACATCAAAACAATAGTAGCCCTGGAGTTAAAGAAAACAAATTTGATCTTGATTATCTGGTACTAATCTAATAACAACATTATAAATTTCTGTAGAGTGGGGTTTTTGATCTGATAAGTCTTGATTAAACTTGAAAGCACATACTACCTAGTACATAAGTGTGGTTTTACATACCAAATATAACTGTACCCAGATCTGTTGTTTATTGAAGGTACAATCATAATATAGAGATAACTGTGGATAGAGTGGGACTGGGTATCGTGAAGTGTTTTCAAAATTTCATAATTATGAATGACTTGGACAGTCAGTTGTGTTATTTTGCCATGTTATTGTCTATTGGTGATAAAAACAAGAAGCCAATTGTCAGAAAAGTCTAAATGCTTAAGAAAACTTTTGGAGGTTTGTTTCGAACTTAGAATTATAATCTTTTGTTGTAAGCGTGGTCTATTTAGATATTTTACAGCACTCAGGCTATTATTAAGTGAAACTGGCATATCCCTTTGCTTAGTAATTATATTTTCTTATTAAATGTCAAGCAGTATATGAAAAGACTGTAATATTACACCATGAGTTAATTTTTTCTTATCTTTTAAAAACTTTTAAGACTGGCTGCAGATATCGGGTGATTTATATGGAAGATAAAATGTTTGTTCAGAGACTTTAAACAGCTGGATCCCTGGAAAGCGAAAAAAATCTATTCCCAAGAGGGACATATTAAAAGACATGTTAAACATATGGTCTAGATATTCTGGTACCAGTAGCTGGATGCCCAGCTTATATCAGGTTACAGTTTCTGATAAACATATCTTTTAAAACATCTGAAGTCACTCATTCCGGTTTGAGGTGTGTTTCTAGAATAAAGAACCGTCAGAATATGATTAAAGTTAGGCAGAGTTCAAATATACTGTCAGTGGTGACACTAGAATAACCTGTGTATATTCTGTTTTAAGAACCAAGGACTATGTCATAAACACCATTTACAATAAAAAAAAAATGGAACTATTCAATTCAGATCTAGAACTCGTTCCACCAAATTTTCAGTGGTATAGGTTGAACCCAGTGGTGCAGACCTCGCCCTACCTGTGGACAGTTAGCATTCGCTGAGGTCCAGCCACAGTTTCTTTGTTAGACACGCAGGCACTACACTTGACAAGTGGTATTCCGGCTTGGAAAATCCAAAGTTGTTTTTGACCCAACACCAGGATGCTCACCAGCGACATTCGTGTAGTGATTGCAGTGTTCTTACTGATCAGCTGCACCTGGACATTTTTGTAATCAGTGTGATGAATCAAATGAACAATAACAAAATTCTTTACTTGAAATTAATAATTTTATTTATTTAATAGATCTACTAAATGTGTTAATTAAAAATCCAATTAACATTTGTATTCTGCTAATCAAATACATTTATGTATTGTCCTGGAATCCTTTGTATAGCTTTCATTTTTATACCATGTTCAGCCTTCATAACAAGTCCTTCAATTTTTCTCACATCATGGTTTGGATCAAGTTTAAAATGAAATCTGTTCAGTATTTTCACCAACAAAACTTTGATTTCATGCATGGCAAAATTCTGTCCAATACAGTTTCTTGGGCCAGCTGAAAAAGGTATGTAAGCAAATGGGTTGATTTTGTCAATGTTTTCTGGACTGAATCTCTCTGGTTGAAATTCCAAGGAATCTTCCCAGAGAGTTGGATTGTGATGAATTCCATAAATCAAAATGGTGGTCATGGTGTCGTTTGGAATAGTTTTGTTCAGGACCTTGATATCCTGATCTGTATGTCGTATTATGAAGGAAATGATGCTGTGAAGACGAAGGGATTCTTTTATGCACATGGTGAGATAGGGTAATTGATTGAGGTCTACTGCCATAAGGTCATCAGTCATTCTTCCAGACAATAGTTCATCTATTTCTCGCTGGACCTGACTCTGTATTTTTGGATGTTGCGCCAAAGAAAAGAGTGTCCAGGATAAAGCACTGCCAGTAGTGTCATGTCCTTCAAACAAAAACGTGTCTACTTCTGCTCTGATTTCTTCGTCAGTTAAACCCACACCATTTTCATCTCTTGCCATTAACAGTATGTCAAGGAAATCAGTGTACCGCTTTCTTTTGGACTCTGCTTCTGGCTCTTCTTTCTGAATAACTTCACGCCTCTTAGAAATAATTTCCTCAGCAACGTTATGGACATAATCACAGTGTTTTTTAAAATCTTTTCCCAACTTTGTAAGATTAAAGACCCAGTCAAAGTGAAGCCAAGGCTTCATAAATCTGAGAGTAAGAATTCGACTTAGTTCATGTACAGCTTGGACATATGGATGACCAGTTCCAATTTCCTGACAGTTTGTATTGTAGGAGAAAGCACATTTTAGGATAACATCTAACGTAAACATTGTAAGTAAAGAAAACACTTCAAAGTATTTATCCTTTTCTGCAAATTGATTGATTTTTGAACAACAGGTATCAGCTGCCTTATTTTTAATAATTAAGTAAGGTTTTAGGATTTCAAAATGAAATGCTGGAGTCAGTAGCCGGCGATTTCTAGCCCATTTCTCTCCTGTGCTAAGCAAAAGACCATCTCCTAACCAAGGTTGGAGCAAGCGGTAAAGTTTTCCCTTTGGCATGGATGTTTTAAGAATTGGCTTCACGCTTTCTGGTGATGTAACGCTTATATCTGCTAATATAGGTCCAAACCATCCTAGACAAAAATCATTATATCTGGCAGTTCTATCACGCTTAGTCTTCAAACAAGCTTCATCAGGAGCAGGAAAATAAAGTAAATGACCCCAAAACCAGTGGGGTGGATCAGAAGGAAACTCTTTCAATATGGCTGACTTCTTGCGGAATCTGTAAATATATGCAGCTATTTTTATAGAACAGTAAATGCTAATGATGACAGTTCCTATGGCCAAAACCAATGACATGCTATAGGTATCCATGTTACTCAATTATTATAAATATTATAGATTGAAAGGCTGTATTAACTTGTTTCACCAGTAGAAGGCAGTTCATTCAGTGTTGTTTACACTTTGTTCAGAGGTTATCACAGAAGACGTCAAAGGTCACAATATGGCTGACATCACATGGCTTCAGATAGATTATGTCATGATGACACAGTATTATCAATGTGTAAAACAGACTAGGGTGTTATAAATGGCTCACACAAGGCATCTTTCTCTTGTAATCATATGTGATCAAATATGGATACACTCAACGAACCCATAATTCACATTATTAAAAAATGTTTTATTGAAAAATCTTGTATACACGCAGAAAACACTTCACAGTTTATTTATTATTTTTTCTTTTTGTGTTAATTGACTGTCTAGATTAGTTTTATCTTGAGACAGCATGAAATTTAGAATATACAAGGTATACAGTATATATTTGAATACTTCGTTTTCACTTTATCATACCACCAATTGAGGTGTTGGATGGCCAAATGGTTAGCACGTGCACGCTGTATCATAAGGTCTGTCATTGACTCAGCTGGCGTGGTTTCGATCCTCCAGTGTACGTGACAAGGAGTAGGGTTGCCTGTCCAACCTCGTAGGTTTTCTCCGGGTCCCCCGGTTTCCTTACACTGCTAAAGACTCCTACGCGCAAGCGAATTATTAAATAAGAATTGAACCATGTGTTAGTCCTGAAATTACCTAGTTTGTGTCGAGTGGACGTTTAACCCCATTTCTCTCTCTCTCTTGTCTCTTTCCTCTCTCTCTGTCATTGAATCAACTGGCGTGGTTTCGATTCCCTGGTTGTACGTGACAAGGAGTAAGGTCGCCTCGTAGGTTTTCTCCGGGTCCTCCGGTTTCCTTACACTGCTAAAGACCTACGCACAAGCAGATTATTAAAATAGAATTGAACCATGTGTAAGTTCCGAAATGACCTAGTTTGTGTTGAGTGGATGTTAAACCCCATCTCTCTCTCTCTCTCATACCACCAATTATTATAAAGACTGTACCTTTTGCACAGTAGTGGGTTTTACCACCAAGGTCGTGTCGAAAATTAATATGTTACAGGTATATAGTTACCAGGATGTATTAGGATGAAGAGTGACTTGTCAAATTCATTTTATTTTTATTTAAAGATATAAAATAGTTGTGTCTACCCTGGAAGATAATTGGATCATCTGTTTGATGCCTTAAACTTAAATTTATCTGAAAGGATGATATTTAGTACTGAATAAAATCCTATTATAGATTTAGATTTTCTGGATTTTCCCCAGATTTATAGTCTCCAGAATGCATGTGAATTACTGAAATAATAAAAAATATACCATGTTAGATCTGAAATGACAGATGTCGATGAACATTACCCCACCCTGTAAAAGAAAACCCTTCCCAAAAAGAAACAAAGGATTGATATTGATACATGGTGACACTGAGTTAGATCTGAACAAAATAAATCCATTTGATATTATTATTATTATTATTATTATTACAGCATATTTATAGTGCACCCTTTCATATAACATGTTCAGAGGCACTGAACAAAGTGACAATGTAAATCACACATAAACAACAAGATTATGGGCATGTTAACGATTGTATACAGAGTCAGTTAAAAGCCTGATTAAATAAATGTGTTTTAAGTTGTTTTTTAAAAGAATACAGAGATGTACAACATCTTAAACTAAATGATAGATTATTCCATAAAACAGGTGCTTGATAACTAAAAGAGCGCTGACCATAGGAGACTAGTTGAACAGTTTTGGGCTTTAAAAGTAGTTTATCTGATGTACGTAATGTTCGGCCAGGTGTATAAAGTTCTAAAAGATCTGAGAGGTAAACAGGAGCTAAATTATTTAAACATTTAAAAGTAAGTAATAAAATTTTAAAATCAATTCGATATTTAACAGGTAACCAGTGTAAATTATATAAAACAGGAGTTATGTGGTCACATTTCTTAGTTAAAGTAACAAGTCTAGCCGCAGTATTCTCTACTTTTTGTAATTTATCTATAAGCTTTAAAGGTAAACCAACTAAAAGTGAATTAAAGTTATCTAATCGAGAAGTGACTTAGTGGCCTCTACAGTTACACATTTACGTATTTTACCTATATTTCTAATATTAAAATAGCACAATTTACAAATATTATTTACTTGAGCTCCCATAAGCATAAAACTATCAAAGATAGCGCCAATATTACGAGCAGAATAAGATGAAAATATATCACAATTACCAATTACAACAGGGGGGTTATCTTGTGCAGATTTACTTAATTGATGCCTTGAGCCTAATAACAAATATTCGGTTTTATCATCATTCAATTTTAGAAAGTTCTTTGACATCCATTTTCTAGGTGTAAATGAAATACATAATTGAGTATCATCGGCATACAAATGAAAGCTGAGACCATATTTTCTGACAATATCTCCTAATGGTGACGTATAGAGGGTAAATAAAATCGGACCAAGAACAGAACCTTGGGGAACCCCAGATGACAAAACAGATTCAGACGACGATTTGCAATTAACTAAAATACACTGTTTTCTACCCACAAGATAGCTCTCTAAAAGATTTAATGCAGAGCCACAAATACCGAATTTAAATTGAAGTCTACGTAGAAGAATGGAAGGGTTCACCGTGTCGAAAGCAGCAGATAAATCTAATAAAATTAAAAATGTACATTTTCTATTATCAATTTCCATTAAAATATCATTTGAAACCCGGGTTAAAGCTGTTTCGGTACTGTGAAATTGTTTATAAGCACTTTGAAATGGTTCATACAAACAGTTATCATCTAGATGGGCCTTTATCTGAGAAGCAATACATTTCTCCAATATTTTAGAAATAAAACTGAAGTTAGAGACTGGCCTGTAATTTTTAAAAACATTAGGATCCAGTGTAGACTTTTTAATTAAAGGGGTAACATAAGCTCGTTTGAAAACGTTGGGAATAGTAGCGGATGATATACAAGAATTAATAATATTGGTAAAAACTGGAATAACTTCGTCTAGACAGTCCTTAAGAACAGAAGTCGGAACAGGATCTAATGAACAAGATTTAGGAGCAGACGATTTAATTAGCTTTAAAATAAAAGATTCACTAACCATGTTAAAATTTTCTAAATAAACAGAATTTTCTAACTTCTCAAAATCATGAGCGTTAAAGTCAATAGTTTTATTTAAATCATCAAGTTCAGTTCGTATTTTCTGTATTTTTATTTGAAAGAAATCAGAGAATAAATTTGCAAGTTCAATGTCATTATCATTGTCCGGGAGGATAGTACGCTCAGCATTATGGCCCAAAAGGGAATTCACAACTTTATACAGGTCTTTTTGTCTGTTTTCGCCATTTTCTATTTTATCAGAGTAAAATTTAATTTTAGCGTCATCAATTAATTTATTCACATTGTTTTTTAAAGATTTATAAATCTGTTTATGGACATGTAGATTTGTTTTCCGCCACAGATGTTCAGCCTTATTACAGTCCCTTTTGGCTTCTAAAATAGAATCATTAAACCACTGCGTATTGGGACGAATCGTAAATGTTTTCGTTTGAAGAGGAACAAGCGAGTCCAAAATTTCAGCAAGCTTTGAGTGATATTGGGTTGCCTATGACTTGGAGTTGGATAGCTAATTAACAGTAATAAGAAAATAATATTTCATTTTTCATGCCTGGACACCCTTGTTACATCTTATTATGTGGTAGAGAGCTTGTTAACATACATCCTTGATTGACTGCTGACACAAATTACTTGTTACACCAGTATATTACATAGTAATCAAATTAACACCATGTTACTGTACATGTATTCTGTATAAGTGGACATGGCTAACCCTAACTGACGGCTGGTCATTATGTTGTTATCAGAACATCCCTTGTTAATTTCTCAAACCTCCCTTAACAGTCATTATATATAAACATTACATGCTCCATTAATTATCCTTAACGAGCTGTTAAAATGAATGGAAATACTTTCAGTTAAGGTCTTTGGTTCTGTTCAAATCTGGCTTCCACTTTTCAGGGGTCAGATGCCTTCAGGGCATAATTGTGATGGTTCTAAAAACAATGTGTACACAGTTGAAGGGCATCAAATAGATCATTTCCTGAGGCATTATTTAACAGTTCAACCAGAATCACCTTACATATAGGATACATGGTTGAGAAAAACACTCCTGGTGAAAATGTTTAAGTGGACAAAACCACTAATGAAAAATAACTGTTCAACAGAGCAAAAGAATAAATGGAATTCATGTCTTCAAAATTTTATATGAATGTAATGCATTAAAAGTGACACAAACTATTAAATTTACGAACATGCACGATTAGTAGCAAATATAAATTATCATACTGCTAAATGTATTTTGTATATGAAGTGTACGTATATTGTATTCTGTATTAAAATTATCAATAAGGAGACAAATTAATTTGCTTTTGAATCCTTACATTTTTGACAATGTATGTATTTAACATAAATCTTATCTGAATAAAAAGAAGTTTAAATCAATTTATGTCAGGGTTTAAATTAATTTCATAAAAATAAGATTCTGGACATTAATGGTTTGTTTGTTGAAGCAAACAAGAATTAGAAAAATAACAAACCTGACATTTAAAAATGCATAACAGAAATATCGGAGATTATACTAGTGTGTTAACACGATTTTCAAAAATTGATCAAGGGCAATCAAATTTATTGTTAAGACTGAAGTCTATATCTGTCTTCATTTGTCCACTTAGTGTAGAAACGTAGGATGTTGAACCCTAAACTAGAGCGTCAACAAGATTTTCAAAAAATTGATCAAGGGCAATAAAATTTGTTGATAAGACTGAAGTCCATGTCTGTCCTCATTTGTCCGCTTAGTGTAGAAACGTAGGACGTTGAACCCTATTTCATACCATTTAGTGCTGGTACCTTGTATAGTACAGGAAGACCTTGTTAAGTTATTAAGTTTAGTGGTAATACTATCGTTAAAGAGTGAAATATAAAACTGTATTTGTTAAAACAGTAGTTAAAGTTATGACAGCAGTACCAGATGACAAGTAACGATAAACAGCTGTTTTAAATGTTAACACATGCCATTCCTCTTTTCCTTAACTCGGCATTATTTAAAATCCTTAGA